ACTAATGCAGCTAACACCCTAAGACAGCTTCAATTAGCTATAGTCTTGCAGAGTAGTAGCATTTTTTTGTTAACTCTTTGCCTTGTACTAAGTGCTTTTCCAACCTCTGCAAAAGGACAGTGAGGACGGGGGTGAGGACCTTGAGTTTTAAAATTAGCGTGGCTTTCAGTTCCTTTTTTGAAGCAGAGATTTCACAGCATCGCAATTTCGGTTATGATAAAAGAGGATTTCGACACTTCTTAAAGGGCAGCGATCCATTTTTATGCCCTTCTGTTTCTAAGGAAAATGTTAAAATTTTAAAACCGCACAATTTCAAGCATTGCAGGAGGACAGCCAAGTCTACCCGAGGATGATGAGGTTTTTAAGAATGGATACACTTTAACCTATGGTGCTGAACTAGTGGCGGTCATCTTTTGCCACTGTGGAAATCAATTACTGCAGAGGCCTTTGCTTCTTCTGAATGCTGAGGTCATGACTCTCCCTGTCATAATTATGATTCCCAGAAGATGAATGCAGAAGTGTCTCTTTCATCACACTTCATCATTTCTCCTTTGCAGGTGCCCAACACAAGTTCTCAGGCCCGTTCAAATGCCATTTATTTAAAGGCAGCTGCCTGCCTGTGTACAAAAGAGCACCTCAAGGTTCATCAGTTCAGGCAGCAACACTCTGAGCTCAAATCAAGACCATCCATCACAAAGTTTCCAGAGAATGTGCAGCACAGCCCAAAAGGTCCTCATAATGTCCAGGATTTATTGGACATTAAATGCATGCCTCTCTCAGCTCCATTTCCTTATTGGGCATCCAGAGACTTTAAAAATCTCCCAAAAAAGCTAGCTTATACTTGAGGTTTTTTGTTGCTTGTTTAAGTTCTGAGCATGAAAAGTACATTTCTGATTTTTCTTGCCCTTACTCAAATGTGAGCTCTTTCATTAAAAAAAAAACAACTTCAGTGAATCTCAATGTGCTGGTTTTTGACAGAGTATTACAAGGAAAGGCTTCACTTTCAGAGGACATGGCAGTTCCTATTTTCTGTGCATGAATATCACTCTGTGTCGACGATACAAAGCAGGTTTGTGTGGAGACGGGTGCCTGCACGTGGGCCCTGCAGTTGTATAGCTGAGAGCAGGCCATGAGGGAGCAGGGCTGTGCTGGCATAACGTAGTCAGCCAGCCTGCTGAATGAATGTAGACAGCCCTGCTGATCTCAACTAAGAGACAAGAGCCCAGAAACCTTGAATTTCTGTCACATTTTAGTCAGGCTGGCTCCCATTAAAGACAATTTTCTTGATTATGTATGGCAGGGGTACCGCAGGCGTTACACTCAACCTGCCATTGTATCCCAGCATGCAGCCCAGCAGTGGGGGGGCTGACTGGGCTTCCTCCACTGGCAGACGCAGACTGACTCCCTGCTGGGCTCAGCCAGTAGGCGGTCAGGCTAGTGGAAGGCCGACAGAATGGAATAAGTCAGGAGGATTTGAACTTCCTTTCTCTTCTTGTTTGTTTTATCGTCGTATCAGTCTTCCCTTGCGGTGAGATTCCTCTAAGGGAGTAAGCCTGGTAAATACCACCTGTTCTATTCACAAGCAAAAAGGAAGAAGAGTTTTCCCCTTGTCGTGCAACAGGTTCGTGAGCATATACCTTTCATATTTGTACAATGCAGTCATCAATACGGGTGTTTAATTCAGAAATATAATCTGTAGCACATACAGGTACAGAAATGCGCTGAAAAAAATGACCAATCTCTTAATTGTAAAATGACCCAGACGTCGCACAGTATAATATTTCAACAAATAAATGTTTCACTCTACTTCTATCTATTCTAACAACATTCGAAAGAAAAGAAGAAGATTTGAAGCGGCGCACACAAGTTAATATATAATGCACTAACCCATGGAATCTAGATGAAAAAACAAAACAAAATCTGCCGGGCTTGAACAGAAACCAAGGCCATAACCCTCTAATTAGCAATAGACTAGTGTTTGCCAGTTTCATACGACAGCCTGTCTAGACGTTTGAAGACACGGGCGAGCTTTCTTACGACTTGGAATTCATGAGATTTAAATCTCTTGGTCTTTCCGTCTGCCTAGGCTTCCAACAAATTGGAGACAGAATGTGCGATTGTCTTTCTGAAAGAACAGAGTAACTGCCCAAGCAGGAAGTGCAAAGTCCAATTATTAAACAATAACACACTAAATGCATGCCTCTCTCTGCTCCCTTTCCTTATTGGGCATCCAAGACAACATATGCAGGCTCCTTACAACCAGCCATGCTTGTACTTGGTGCAAGATTTCTAATGACCAGCTATCCTTGAATGGAGCTGCAAAGTCTAACACTAAGTCTAACACCCTTAATTGTGGCAGTGCTGTGCACTGAACCAGCTGAAGCAGTTGGAACAGTATTGTTTCTGTTGCTGTGCTCATTAACGCACAACCCCCTTTGCTGCTAGAGAGGCAGGGAAGCAAATGCTCAGTGCTTAGTTTTCTTCCATTTCTTCCAGAGTCCAGAATGTCTGTCAGTCTCATACAGAGATGTTTTTATTCATGGAGATTCCATATCTTCCTTATGTCTTTTACCTCATCAGACTAACTCCATGCAATGACTGAATACAGTCCACAAGCCTTCACAATTCACCTCTATCAAGCTGTTTTCAAATGTTTTAAAATTTTAAAAAGATTTAAACAGTGAAAGCAGCAAAAGAGCTTTGAAGATATGTGTTATTTCCATGATACAATTCCAGGATCCCTTCAAGAGTTTTTTGCATCTTTCCAGTTAAATTTTTAAAACATGTATATCTGTCCCGTTGCAGTTATTTGAAAATCTTTAGAATTCACTTTTATTTATGTGGAAAGACTACAAGCGAATGCTACGCACACTGCCATCTACAGTCAACTGCATTGCATTTACAAATGTTGATTCACACCTCCTTAAGAATGAATGGCCAGCAGGGGTAAACTAATTTGATCATAGTGTCTAACTAGTGCTGAAACATAATTAAAAGAGAATGAGCTGCAGTTATTAACAGAAAACTAGTGCTCTTCTTGTTTGCTGTCAGATAATTTCAGGTAAACTTAAGTAGGAACAGTGCTGAATTGAAACAAGCATGACTGAAATATTTTTTTTGAATATCAAATGCTAAATATTTTATATTAAAATATAAGATTTAAAACATTTTGTCATAGGCTTGTATGAAATTGTTTGCTCCTTATATAAACATATATATTTATAAAACTTTGGATTATACATATATACTGCAGTTACAGATTATACATATATATTATGGGTAACAGTTTTAGCCATCCACAATTCTCAAGCAAACAGAATGTAGCATTTGAGACGAGAGGCTCCAGAACACCAGTTAATATAAAAAAATGAATTAAACAAAATCAGCAAAGTGCTAATGTCACTATTATCATTTGCTGTGTGAAACGCAACATGAAGTCAGCCTGTCCCGGATCTTATCTGATTAATATCAAAAAGGCGATAACTAGACCTATCACACTAACACCACAACATCTCAAATGTACTGTAAAATGTCATAAACTAATTTCACAGCAGGGTGCAGGCTCAATGGATCTGCTTCACAAAGCATACTATGCAACAGTGAGGATTAACCATTTCATCCACTATATGTTTAATGAAGACCTTTAGAACACAGCAGTATAATCACAACATTATGACTTTTGATGTTTAATAAGGTCAATACCAGTGTCTACAATATTTTTTTCTTAAATGATTACAACCATTACTCCCATATCTTCATATTGTACATATCATGTAGCTCAAAGGTGCCTGTTTCCTATTTAAGAAAGACCCCCACTTTTCAACTTAGTGTTAATAAAGGAAAACTTTAAGAAACGTTTGAGTTAAATGGGCACAAAATGGAAAAAAATAGCATTCCACAACATGTCTGTTTTTCTTGTGGGTATAAGAATTATCTTTTGATAAGAAAAGAGGGCTTTAATACAGCAGTGTTTCCAGCTGTACCTCAGTGATGCGACTCCTAGGATTGAAAATATTTCATGTATCATGAGGAACAGATATTCCGGGTTTACACAATGATTGACGCAAATGAATTCAATGCTTGGGGTAACTTAAAGAGGACAAATAAATTGGATATTCCTACAAAACTAATATGCGGTCCACAGTCTCTTCAGAGAATTCCTGCTTGTACCACTGTCATAAGCCTTCACTGACAAAGCCTGCGAATTCGTCCAAATTGTCAGCCTTTTATCGTGTTGTTCAACATAGAAAAGCGAACTTTTTAATTGACTTTGCGAGTGCTGTGCACACGTTATGCGTTTTCTTTCGAGTTTTGGCTGCACCAAATTCTTAGATCTCAGCCTATTAGCAATGGCCCCTCATTAACAGGACCATATGTATCTCCATTACAGAAATCTCCATTTTCTCATTTGATTCAAGTGTGGAGGTTTGATATTTAATTTAACACTAGTGTTATAATGCATAAAATTATGCATTTTCACCCATGTTTTATACTTTTTCAGTGTGCACTCTGCTTCTGGAGTAAAGAAACCTTAAATCATTACTCTGGGCTCTGTAATGCATAGACTGCTAGGGTTATTTGCCTTCAATCACAGGAGGGTGCTGAGAGCTCAAATGGTGCTTTTGTCACATTGAGCAAATATAAGCATGCTGAGACATTAGCAACTATTAAGCAAGATGCCAAAAAATAAGCACACATCATCTACTGATTGACTAAAATGCATTTCGATACAAGCCCATTATCACACATCATGCAAAGAACCAACAGCTACAGCGACCAAAGAAGGACAGCCACCTACTGCTCCGAGTGATATGACAATCTATTGATGTCATTACATGACACATGCCATATGTAGTGTGAAATATTATGAGCCCTTGCACAAAAAAGATTATGAAATGAAGGCTGTTGATTCCTTTGATAAAATATTAATGACAAGCAATGTCAGAAGCAAGAAGTGTTACCTCAAGGTCCACAACTTAACCTATAAACCACAGTCTTACCTGGTCCCAGTCTATGCTGCGAAAGAAGGTGTGCGATTTGATATCTGAAAATCCAGTCTGCACCTGGCAACCAAGTCTCTCTTTAGGGTCCTGTGGAGTCAAATAAGTAGTTCAACCGAGGTTAGAGCTTTTACAGTGAACTAAACCCCCAAAGGCAGTGACGTCCGAACAAGCTCCACAGCCCACAGCCGAAATGTTGTGTTTTCTTTCTTCTCTTTTCAGCATTAAATAAACCTATTAATTGTTCCTTTGCAGCCTACACATGCTGACGCAGCTCCCCACCTGAACTACTTCAACCTTCTCACTAACACTATTCACAGCAGCGTGGTTTTCCTTAGAGACTGCTAGGCGTCTCCCATCTTAACTGACCAGGCCAAGTCTGGCTAATTTCTGAGATGTGATACAATGAAGCTACAAAATGGTTATACTTCCATCGATTTCTGTTGGAATTGCTTTTACTTTGTTTTTAGTTTTGTAGTACACTGAAAACTCTGAAAGTGAAAGTTCACTGAAAGTGAAGAGCTCCAATGTTCAACTGGAGCCTACAGTGCAGTCAAAGAAGTACATAATCACCTTTGTCATATACTACAGGTCTGCACGTTTCTAATACACAAGCTGCCTGTTCCTCTCAAGGTTTCTTTTTCATTCAACACTGTGAAATTCAATAACCTAAAGTCAAACTAAACACAATCAGCACAAAGTAATGAAAGGATTCATAATACTTTGCAATTGAATTTTAGTCACAATAGTCACAAGGTGAACAGAGATAAACAGTATGCTTAATGCCGAGGACAAACAAAGAGACTATAACTGGTACCTCTTCTGTACCACTGGTTCAGGAGTTAAAGCAGGGGTAAAAAAATCATTTCTCGTGGGCAATGTCACTGTACTGTATGTTTCACTTCACTGTAATTCCACTGCAAGACAGTTTTAGCCATCCATAGACAGGATTACATTGTACAGCACATAATACAGATGTGGCATTAACAGATTACAAAGGATGACATATTTATGATAATTTCATGTATGTTTATAGACATGGATTTAGACATAGTCTGGGTCACTATGCCCCTGTTGGTTTATTAAATAACATATTCCATTCTCACCTTATAGTGCTTCTATGAAACTCCTGGGAGATTCATTTTTACTTCATCAGTTTTTAATTTAATTCTGGCTTCAATGACCTGGGATAAACTGTCAAGATGTAAGCATTAGTTCTCTGAGAACTGAACCAAGATCTGAAATCTCTGCATGTGGAGAATCTGCAACTTTTCACTTGGCTTTGTGACTGAGCACTCCAGGTTGCTGTGAAACAGGAGTGCTTTCCATTAAAAGGGAATATATAATCTTCTAATACTGTGCACACTGCAGACGAGATTGTGAAGATCTGCCTCTTACCTTATTTAAAAAGCCCTTTAATACGCTGGCAGCCTTGACAGAGAGAGATCTTGGAATGCGAATGGGCTTTTCAAGAATAACTGGGGGAGAAGAAAACATTCATAAAGAGACAAGCAATACATGATTCAACATATCTGGACATATGGTTTCATTGTATGCAGTTTATGGGGGCACCATAGAGACAGTTACTTTTCGTACATAATTGCCAGTGTCTGTGAATATAAATCTTAAAAACACACCCGGGCAAAGAAAATGGGGAAATCTTTAAAAAACAATACAGTGGGGACCTTACAGAAACTTTAATTGCAATGCATCTTTTATTTTAGAAAAGCAAACCATCTATGTAGTAAAAAAAGACACAATCTGCTCAGAAATACCTAATAATCAAGGAACAAAGCTTTTAATTTTCATATGATTAACCTCCTGTTGTGTGCGAGACTGGGGATGAGGGGAAAAAATGCAGATACTTTGAAATAAAAAAATGGCTAACCACCACACATACACAGCAATCTTCTGGGTAAGATTTTTTTCCCCCATTTTCCATTTCAAAATGCCATTCTTTATTTGTTATGAATCCACACTGCATGTTTCTCTGGATGAAAACTTAAATGGATTTTGCTTTTTCAATGATCAAGTCGAGTCTTCTTACTCGACTTGTATCTGTGATGCACAGTTTCAATCGCCCCCCAATTCTGGAAGAGCCCCAATCCAGGATGAGAAAACATAACAGCATCTGCCTTCAATCTTCCTTGCCAGACACACGTTTGGCCCTATGCTGTACTGAAAGCATATGGCCAAGCAGCAACTGTGGAGAGTGTTTGTTATTTACATTCAGGCAGGATCCAGATCCCTGCTGTGTACTTCATTGGGGACTGAGGACAACTAAAGGTGCAGCTGACAGTAGGATGTCTTGGTCTGTGTCTGAAACACAAGGCACTGTCCTCTAAAAGCAACAGTGGAAGCACACCCAAATCGTGGGATACAGTCCAGGTAAAATTCTATATACACATAAATGTATAGAAGCATATAAATGTAAATGGACACATACACACTAGCAATGATCAAAACTACACTTAGATAGATTGCAAAACAAGTTGATAAAATTACAAAAAGGCAGTCTATTCATGAGTTAGCCTATTTTAATGCTGAGCAATAAAGATGTATAGAAGATCAAATCCCCGGTGAACTCAAAGAATGGGCTTCTTTAATAAGATTTACAGTAATAAGGGTTAATATGGAGCTGTGAAATGAGTCATTCAGAATTCTGGTTAAGAGCTCTGATTGAAATGTCATTGCTTGTGCTCAAGGGACAGAACTTGGAGAAAATCTATGCAGAACACAACGCACCTTGGAACAGGTACTCCTCTGTGTTCATGTCGGGATTGTCCGTGATGATGTCGAATGGGGATCTTCCAGCCATCATCTCAAACATCAGCACCCCCAGAGCCCACCAGTCCACGCTGAACCCTGACGAGACACAGCAGTTGTTATCCTCCCAGGTTTAGCCTTAGAGCAATTACATTCATTCAAGGCTTTTGGAGGGTACATATCCCTCCAGTTCTTATGTATGCGTGCAGTATATTTTATTTCATCGTTTGGAATCATTTGTTTTTCCCTCTTTCTGTTTAATGGGGTCCTCTGCTGGACAAGACTCTACTGTGTCTGGCCACAGGCCACCGTTCAGTGTGAAAAAGCCATGACTGTGTTAAAAAAAAGCAACTGAACAAGAGGGTATCAGGTTAGAATTCATCCAGATATCTAAAAAGTCATTTAGCTCATAATAAAACCAAAGAGGAGAGGGAAGGTAAATAAAGATTTTTGATGGAGAAACCCACCATAGTCTTCTCCCCGGAGGATTTCTGGTGCTATGTAATTTGGAGTGCCACAAAATGTACTGGTTGTGTCACCGGGTTGTATGCCCTCCTGACGACAAAAACAGGACATCAGAGTTGCACCTTAGTGATACGGTGAACAATTCGAACCTAAACAACTGTAAGGTTTTTTACCTATATACCGGAGTACACTCTGCTTGAAGTCGAGATATTTCGCAAGCATATTCATAGGTTGCAAAGGAACAAGCAAAGAATTAACCTCCACTTGTTCCTTTGCAGCCCACACGCTGACACAGCTCCCTACTTCAACCTCATTTACAGGCTGTGCTTACTGTACAACAAGCAGAGCTGGATTGGTACATCTTTCTTCTTTAGTCTTACACAAACAGCAATCAGTATTATTAACATGATAAAGTACACATTTTTGTCTCCTTTCATTAAAAAAAAAAACATTTTTGTAGGAGAAAGACAAACCCTATGGTTTACAAAAGAGATGAAGTTCAACATATTTTGTCTAAAACGGCTGCTGTTGCTGTTGCCAGCTCTAAGGCTCCTTATAGTTAACAAGCTCACGGTAGATACTTGGGAACATTTTACCTTGCACATCCCATAATCTGTTAATTTGATATGTCCCTCTTGGTCCAAGAGAACATTGTCCAGTTTTAAATCCCTGTAGATGATGCCTTTCTCATGGAGGAAATTCAGAGCGATACAAATTTCAGCAGCATAAAATCTAAAGATTAAAGGGAACAAACGACAACAGTACTGACAATTTCAGTCATGAAATTCACCCCTCTGCTCCTCTCTGAAAAAAAAGCAAAATGATAACTGACAACAGACTTGTACTTGAGTAGATTCTAGATGTTTAAATAAAATATAAAACAAAACTAAATATGATGTCTGCCATATATATTTTTTAAAGTTTATACATTTATCTTCATACAGTAGTGTCATCAAATATTCAGAAGCCCAGTTCATTTTTCAATGTGGCACTGCATGAAAGCAGTTTTAGCCCCATTCTGGACATCTGTAATTGAGCAAATTTCAGCCAACTTCATTAACATTTAGTTAACAGTAAAAACTAAACTCTTTTTTTTTTGTGAAACAATCTCTGTAGACAAAATCAATACATCAATTATATGAACATTAAAAAAATTAGCAAAACAGAAAGAGATAAGATAAACTATCATCATTTTTTTTAATATAGCTATTCAATGCCATTGCTAAGAGTGCAAAACATGCAATCAGAAAAAAAGTCAGCTCTCTTGTGTCACACCTGGCTGATTCTTAGCAATAAAAATTGCATATACCAGAAAAGAGTTAACTCAATTTGAGTTATGTGTCACAATCTGCTATTGGTAACATCTGTGTGAGGATATGATCGCAACGATTCCTCTCTCCCACTGGAGACGGTGGGGTGCACAACACAAAGCTGGTTACCGTGCATGTTCTTCCGGAAGTTTCCGTTGTCTCTGCATATGGAACATCAGATCACCCCCATTTACGTACTCAATTACAAGGAATAATCTGAAACAAAAAAACAACAACATGAGAAATGGCAGAACATGAGGTAAGCCATCAAAAAGCTGTGTTCTGCAGATAAAGTAGGTTTGAAGCACATGGTGTGCCTCACATCTTCTAGAACCAAGCCCTCATTCTGAGGCCTTCACAAAAATCAAGATGGCCAGGGCCTTGCAGAGAAAGGTGTGGGGAAAAGGCAGGGGGAAGCAAATATCTTAGAAAACAAATGCCAGGAGGCACAGTTTATGGTGCTGAAGTGGTTTTTATAAATGGTGGACATTTTGGGAAGACAGAGGCACCGTCTTGTCATCTAAACTGGAAAAATCTTTAAAAAGACATACTGAGGAAAACAAACCATAAGTAAAAATAGATCAGGGAAAACATCCCTGATGTTAGGACATTAGGATATTAGCCCCAGGAGAAATGCAAATGCAGATACAGTAGGTAAAAAGAAAACATTGGGATTTGTGTTTTAAGCCAGAAAATGATTCCTAAAGGATAGGGCACTTTTGCCAGCAGCAAGAAAACAGCTGCTGGAGAGGTCTCAGGTTGCATTAATTTCTGGAAAGCTCCCACAGGTCCCTCTAATTCAGAATAATAAGCAGTACATTTTTCAATAATTATTATATCAACCTTTTGTCACATGCAAGCAGAAGCCTGTTTCTCAGTGAAACTCGAATATTTACCATCCACACTGCAACTTAAGCTCACAGCCTTAGAGGCAGCGCTGTGATCATCTGAAGGTAGGGTTAGGAAGCAACATGCAGGAGCTTGTGCACAGAGGAACGTGTGCACAGGCTGCCAAATCTAGCCTTCAGCTTTGCTCTCTGTGGCAGAAGTCTGAGAAAACGTAACACAACTTGTACAAACTTTTCACAGTAAACTTCTCCTATTTCCTCCATTATCTCGCCTGCCAGGGGCAATTAGCATGGTCAATTCAGCAAAAGATGTTCTCAGCACTCGCAAGAACCTCAGCTGGAGTCACTCACCAGGTGTAGAGCGATTTGTCTGGCAGTACAACTCACTGGGCAAACCTCAAGTCATGTTTTTGGCAGCAAGGCTTGAAATGGTGGTAGTTTCCTGTCATATTCTTTGGGTATCATCTTTCTGTTAAGGGCTCGTCGAAGCAAGGCCTTTGGGTTATTTTTCCTTCCCACACGAAAGGAGCCAGCTCTCACACTTGGTAAGGAACCGAAACCTTCACAGAGCTTGAAATGACTAATATATTGCAAGCATCTGAATACTACGAATGCCTCTTGAATTTGTTTCGACAAATTATGACCAACTCACATAGCTTACATTTCACCATGCTGGCAGGGACAGCTTAAAGAAAGAAGCAGTAACTGCTGAGTTCTAAAGTAGATTGTGCTATACTAAACCTCCTACCCCCCCCCCAAACTGTGAGCACTGCTCCTCCTGCTTTGTTAAGGTCCAGAAGATGGCTTACCGACTCTCGGTTTGGAAACAGGAATGAAGGCCAACTAAGAAGGGGTTGCTGGAAGCCTGCTCAAACACATGCTTTTCCGTCTGGACCCAGTCAATATCCTGCAGAGATAAAGGAAGAAACAAAGATATTTGAGGTCAGAAGATCTCACCCTCACCTACACTGTAACTTCAGGTCATTTACTGGTTTCATTTGCTGACTAAAATAACGATGCCTCATCCCGTGTCTCAGATGTCGCTGGTTCAATCCTAGGTTATGTCAATGGCCAGTACTGACCAGGATTCCTCCAGCTCCAGAGCACAGCTGGTGGTGTGCCATAAGGGTAGGGTGTTCATCACTTTCTCAGCTTTCAAAAAAAAGAGCAGCTCCGGTGATTTCTTGGGCACCTGCAGGGTTGCAGTGATGTCATCGACAGCTGGTGCTAACTCTCCTGGGGGTCAGCATGGAGCTGTGTTTCAGGTGGGCGTGTCAGAAGAGCATGTCTTCACTCCCTCCAGAGATCAGAATTAATTGTATTCTTATATTGTGGTTGAGTAAATTACAACCAAGTCTGAACAACTGGCAATTCTGACCTGGGTGGGCATCACAAAACCAGCTTTAAATCTTTACTTAGTCACAGAGAGAGTTAAAGGGGAATTGAAGTCTCAGACTGGTTATTAAATCTCAGTAACAAAATAAATTCATTGACGTTACAGAAAAAAATGACCAATTTTAAATTAAAGCACAAAATCATTAACTTTCTGAAAGTACTGTAAGTGGCCATGTTGGCACAACTCGCATTTAAATTCCCACAAATTGTGGGAAAATGGTGATACGGCTCTTCCTGCTCACTAGTCTCTGTAATGACTTATGTAATGTGATGTACAAGCAAATAAGTACAGGTTGTGCAGCAGACATTTCTTTGCAGAAATGGGATCTGCATGCAGAGTTAACAGGTTAACAGACTGCCTTGTTGGCAAAACCATCTTGAAAGCGAAAGCAATATTTATATTTGATTAAAAGAGATGTATTCACAAGTCTGCTTGCTTACAATTAAATAAGGCCACAACACGTCACTGGAAGTTTTATTGCCTTGTTCTGAATCGCAGAACACAGCATTTCGCAAACCTGCAAATTTGGTCTATTTTGTGACATACTGTAAATTGGAGGTTTTACAAGTTACTATGTACATTTTACTGTTATTGAGGTTAGAAATGCACTGATCAATGCTGATTTTTCTAACCCTGAAATATGAAAATAGTGTCGCAGTTCCCTTTTAAGACACAGTGTGTGATGCTATGTAACCTATTGCCCTGCACAAGCACCTGAATGCTGATGAGACCACATACTGTTTCTTCAATGGGAGAGCTGTATAACTGGTTCATTAATATCATTTACTGTAAGTAAAAGAAACTACTGTTTTTCATTTATTTTGACATTACTGTTAAACTGACTCCAGCATATCAAACTTGAATCCAGCTTCTGTGTAGATGTATCTTTTCTATAGTTTGGGTTCTCAAGACACCACCTCCAGAAACTCATTCCTCCGCCGACCTAGGGATACGGACCATCACAGGCGCAGATTATAAGGTTATAAGGTTCACCACATCCACAAGTAAATGTAAAGTTCAAGAACATCTCTTGTAATAAGCATCCATTCTTATAATGCTTTAAACCAGAACGTATGTTACAGTACAGTTACCTCTGAATATGGCGTTTAGATATTTTTCTGGAAAGTGCTAAAGGCTTTATACAGTACATTGTAGGTACAAAGTACACATCCATGTACAGTACTACAGTATATGAAGATTCCACAGTTTTTCATTTTATGATAATCACTTACTTTATTCATATTCTGTCACTCAAAATGCAGCTGTTACCATTACCAAAAAGTAGCAGTAGGTATTACTTGGAATTGGGCATTACTAAAAGATTAACTGCTATTCCTGAATTCTAGAGGTATTACAGTCAATGCAAAATGTTGCAGCACAACAGTTTATGACATTGCACAAATAAATTGAAGAGATCTTTGTTGACATTAAACCATATTCAATTGCAGCATGAGTTTTCGCCTTGTTAGCCCAAAATGTCACTGCCCAGCTTTTACAGTGGGTGTACTCAGCTAAATCAGACCTAATTAAGGTGAAAAGAGGGACGTTATTTCACACCTCTTTGGTAAACAAGCTTGTGAAACATTTTAAAAAAGAAAGTAAAACATAAAAGACTGCCATAACCTTTGAGATTTCTTACATTTTTTCCTTATTTTGAACAGCAAAATTTTCCCTTTTTTCCAGCTCCTGACATTTGCCAGCAAGTGAGACACAGAACACTCCCTCCACCCCCTGTATGTTTTAATAAATTGCTTTGGAACATGTTCTAATGAGGCTCAGACTCAGGAGAACACAGAGATCAGCTTTATTAATCAGTGCAATTTCATTTCCTGCTGGAGAGCTAACAGAAAACAGATTACATGAAAGAATGCTTTAATTTTGAAGCTACAGAGGAAGACAGATGTTGAAACGTTCAGTGGTCAAACCTCGGTCCTGTTACAGTACACCTCACAGTATCTACTTTTTTCTGTATTATACTTTTTATTTATTATTAAACAAATCAACAGCTTGGTAGTGCAGGATATCTGTGATACATCCTGTGAACACTCCAAAGGCAGGCAAACAATGAACAGTTTGTCATTGGCCCAGTCCATTAAATTACTCAGCGCATGTTAAAGATGCCAACACTTTCAGATGCTTGAGGACAATTTGGTGGTCTGGAAGTTAGCACTACAGGCTTAGAGTGCCAGGATAATAGGTTCAACTCCAGTTTAGGGCACTGGTCTTAGAGGAGTTTGCATGCCCACTGTTTCTGTCTGGGTTCTTTGCTAGTTGTTCTCATTTCCTTGTTTTCCAAAGACATGCAGGTCAGGGTGCAACTGCCTACCTGCCAAATTAGGTTTCAAGGGGATTACAGACTTGCAAGTGTTGTGCTGAGTACAACCAGTACTTACTAAAGTTCACAGAACCAAAATTAGTTTGATGGGCTGAACAGCCTTTTTTCATCTGTGACCTTTGTGATGTCCTGAATCCACAGACTCCATGTGCAGGTCAACATAACCCCTACACTCCTACTCCTACAGCCTACCCTGTTCATCTCTAATTTCCTCACTTCTTCAGAAAGACCACCTCATCTTGTGCTATAGGATTAAAAAAATCTTGGATCTGCACTTGCCTTCTTATAGTCATGTTCTCTGCAGAGAGGTCGGCTTTGTGTTAAATTTAGTAAATGTCCAGAAATCTGCACAGTGCACAATTGCCAGATGTGGTTCCATGCTTCCCTTCAGATTTCAGTCAGAGTTTACAGAGATTCTCAAATGTTACTATCTCCTCTCCCCTTAAAGTAATAGACTGGGAGATATCAGTTGGGCTTAGCCCTACCAAGAGAAAAATACACAATAGCAGTGTAAAGTCGGCTATCTGAGAAACTCCAGCATGTAAATATCAATGGCTTATTATGCATATTGAATAGTATTATAATAATGTACATTATATACAAACTTTATGGATCTCACGTTTACTGTATAGTTCACAAATTCACCTTATCTATCCCTCCTGACCTGTTTACAAAACATCAGGACACTAACAATGAGCCAAAAAAACAATAGGTCCAAAGTTCACAGAAGTCTGAATTCAGCAGAAATTCAGACTTACCTTCTGGCAAGATTTATTGTTCTACAACTTGATATTTCCAGGCTTAAGGGCTACAGAAAGAGGTCTGTAATACAATAGATCTTATTTAGGTCACCCTTTCGGAAAGACCTTCTTCCTCTAACTCTGGAACACTCAGCCAAACAGCGCGAGCACAAAGAGGGACTCTTCAATACAGCACAGGCAGATGAATTCAATTTTACAGCCGCGGAACACCAAACTGGTGAATGCTATTCATCATTCTGACAGATAAAAAAAGAAGGAGGGGAAAAAAAAAACAGACAATAGGAGACATCCTCATGCTTCCTCCAGTATCAAGTACGTAAAGGTGCCAGCATTTCAGTGGACTTGGCTTGGAAATCGTAACTTATTAAACAACAAAAGAGGAAAGTGGAACCAAGCTGTCCAGCTCCAGTCTTTTATTATTATTTTAGGCTTTTCCTTCAGTTCCACAGCCCCAGGACTGGAACAGAACCTTGTGCCAAAGCGCAACTGAATAGCTTGAAAGTGCATGAATTCGAAGGAATGCAGCTTTTATAATCTTCCAGTTACCTCTGTTCATATGGCCAGCATTAAACATGCTGTACTCTATATCTTGTTAGGAAGAAAGGAGGTTCTTCTGCCTAAAGGCTCTGCACTTAACAAGGGCTTTGGAGATAGAGAGCAGAAAAAATACCTTCTTGTATTTCAGGGCTACCCAGGCAATCACACATTACATGGAGGAATGTGGCGGCATGTGACTTCTCTTCTCTCAAGGGGATTTGGAAATCCTTGAACAAATGAAGGCTAGACTTACTAATTAGACTGCTAATGATATCTTCTTACCCTGCTCATATACCACCACAAATTCTGACAAAATAACTCATTATGAATGAAATCCTTCTCACACTACTATATGGAGAAAGGACATTTTTATATCTTTGCAGTTTTTGAATTATTTCTGTAAAATTTTAACATTCCAATTTTGATTTACTACTCCTAAACCTTCCTCATTGACCACTTCAACTTGAACCAGCAGAAAAAAAATTAAAACACACCTTCTGAAAAAACCTAGCATATAACAAAAAAAACATTGCTGAATATTAAATAGCACAACAGGTATGTGCAATCTCTCATTTATAATAAAGCCAAACAAAAGGCCTTTATATTATATTAATCCAAAAAGTATACACTTTGCACTTAACACCCACTCATTCGCTAGTGTTCAAATTCAAAGGGGGAATGGTGCCACCTACTGGTAATAACAATACTTGCTGTATGACTTAAAAGACTAGCACACACTAACCTCTCACTTGAAATGTTTTGAGAAAAGCTTTCCGAACCTGTAATTTAGCCACAAAAACATATCGTCATGACAAGTAGAAAAAAGACAAAGAAATATATCGTAATAAAAGACATGCCAGAGTTATTCACTGTTAAGACACTGTTATTCCAATCCAAATCTACATCTTTCTACCTGTCCAGATAGGATAAACACATCGCCTTCCCAAGAGGCCTTGCTGCTGGTGTACACTTTATTTATGTTCTAATATTATCTGGCTGAGCCATTAAAACTCCTTCCCATGTCTTAAGCGTCAGATGAACAGCTCCAAGACCGCTTCCCTGAGGAGCCATTGTGATGATGCCTCATCTGTGCATTGCTATCCGAGACATATTATGAATCTCATATCTCTGCAATGCTTTCCTTCCTTCGTTCACAGAAGCCTGTCCACACAGAGGAGGGTGGGAGGGGGGCTGGAGCAGTGCTATCCAGGCACTTGACGAATGTAGGTAATGAAAAAGAAAGCAGAGAAATGTGCGATTTGACCTGCATGTGCAGCTCCCTCAAACACACCTCGTCGGTGTGCGAGGAGGACACCTCGCGGCCTCTTGCCTTCCTCACCTCGTCGTCGTGCACCAGCTCCTTCTTGACCACCTTCATGGCGTAGATCTGGTCGTTCTTCTTCAACCGCACCAGGAGCACCTTGGCGTAGCTGCCGCGCCCGATGACTCGGATCAGGTCAAAGTCCGTCAATCCCAGCCCCTGTGAGATCTTGATCCCGTCAATCCCATCCACCACAGGCTTGATATCCTGTCAGTGGAGGAGATTTGTCAATGACCTGATAAGGCCCTTTACATAAAGTTGTGTCACATGTGAACCATAACTGAACTGTCAACAAAGCTCAAGGGACAGGACAGCTGTCTTTATTCAGGTACCCCTCGGCCCTTGTACCCCATATTGTGGGCACCATTCTATTTTCAGAAACTGCAATGACAGTTTCACCCAGTTTACCAGCTGACCATACGGACTGTATTTCTCCCATTCTGTAACTGACTCCCACCCCTCCTGCCCGTGTGCTATGAAGAAAATAAGAGAGGCAACAGTGACGGGTGTTTTTAATCACATAGTCACCTTGCTGTAGCAACTTCTCTCCAAACAAACAGAAATTTAACATTGAAAACAGATTTCAAAAGATTCAAAAAATGTTTTCCAGTGAATAGGCTCAAACTGAGTCAGAATCAAAACCAAACAAAAACAATGGAACAGGGGTGAGAACTGCATGCACAACCAACCCCCACCCACGCTCATCAAACCAACCCCCCCCCCCGCTCCACACACACACTCCTTAGGAAAAAGAAAACAAAAAAACACAACCTAGACTTCTAATTAACAAGGCGAATGAGAATACAGCCAAACTGGGATTATTATAAAGCTGTGTCAACAGTAACCTCAGCGTGCCTACAGCATGATAATGAAGTCATACATGGAGTCTGCTTCTTTTCATCAGAGGAGAGCAGTGAACAATATTAACACTGGGGGTTATTAAACTGTGCTAATATTACAGAGCAAACAAATCCGAGTGCCTTCTTTTTTCAAAGAAAAAGAAAGCCAAGCTTCCTCGCCGACTCACCTCTGAATCATCCTCCACTTTGTCCAGGTTGCGATTGTGTGGCAGGAAAGGAACTAGAGCAAATTCAGTTCACAAAACCAAATAAAACAGAAACATTAGACAGGAGAATGAACATGAAGTGAGTAAGAATCATGTGGTTTTTTTCTCTTAAGTGGACTGCAATGATGTCCTTAAGGTAGTTAAAAAAACAAAACTTGTATCTATGAGGGTTTCGAATTCCAGGGCTTTGTCAAAATGTGTTAACCGATGAGCACAGAGCTAAAGTACATACAAGTACAGCTAAACTAGATTTAGACTTGGATGAAAAATGATTTTAGATGTTACACACAAGCATTTAATCTGAGTTTTTATGAACTGAGCAGGGATTGAAGAAATATGAAACTACAATGTGCCAATGGGATTTGAGAAATTCATAGTTTCCTGAACAATACCATGCCCTGTGCTACTGTTCAGTGATCAGTAGGTGGCACCACATCACTTTCTGACTCCAGCAGATAAAAACACCCTGCTGCTACTTTCCTTCAACTAGGTCACTTTGTCACCTGACAGCTGAAATCAGCCCAAGAAATCAGGGCTTGGGCTGTCTGCTGCCTGCTGCATCGCGAATGTCAGACTTGGAGCCCACTAAGAAGGCAAGACCAGAACAGAGCATGAGTGACTGACTGCACTTCTGAGAACAAAGGAGTGACCTACTTCCGTCCCTTTCTTCACTAGGGAGGTCCACTTCGTCATTTTTTTCATCTACTGGGGGCTCCTGGGATGGCATGACAGGATCCTGAGAAGAGCAGCAGAACAAGAACGATTATTTTTCCAGTCATTTTTTGACAATAACATTGACTATCCTATTAGGTCAGTATAATACTGATATCACCATGCATTGCAAATATCTTTAAAAAACAGAGAGGCGGGATCAGGGATTATTTTCTAGAATAACATATATAGTAATGCTAGATATTTTTAAATGCACCTCCAAAAAGCCTCTGTACAAAACATGCTTCATGAATTTGATGTGAACAAAAGCTCTTCAATGATCAGTTTCAATGGAAACTTAAAACATTGTTGTGAATGTTGTGTTAACAAGCAAATGAATCATACCATCAGGTTAATTAAAAGAGGTGGACTTTTCACATTTTCAGCGTCACCACAAAGCCACCACAAAACTCACAAAAGTGTAGCACCTTAGCCTTCCAGACAAAACTCCTTTGCTACTGCTGCCGCAACCAATAGAGCCCAGGTTCAGTGATCTTAGCATAATGGCTAACCCATTACTTACTGTCAATCAGTCATCACCAGCACAGGTAAACAAAGCTGGTTCCAGTAAACAAATACTAAGCTGTCCCATCATGTGCTGTTGTGTTGTTTTGCAAGAAGAATTTTACATCACCCTTTGCTTTCTTTTAAATCTAGATATTTCCGTGCTTTTGCAGCAAAACCAAATTCTCGGGGGGGGGGGGAGGGGGGACTTAAAAGGTTTCATAAGAAGATGATTTGACATAGTGGAACAGGAAAGAAAATTGTGATGAAGCAACTTGTATTCATTAGTTAAAGGGGGGACATATCAGTCTATACAATACATATGAAGTGCATTTTCTTATCAATTAACCTCTGCACAGCAGGCTTGTTTTATGCACTGTTTTGTATAGTTGTATTTTGGCCCAAAATGGCATCTTTAGATACAATGTGGTGTAGTGAGCAAACTCTTAAATGCTTCCCAGTGTACAACTTTAGATGCTAAGGATGTTATGGCCATCCAGCAGTCCACAGTGCATGCTGGGAATCTCAGAAGTGGAAAGGCCGCACTTGGGAGGTGTCAAGAGGAGAAGAGAAGATCAGGTGATATAGGGTAACTGGAATCAACATAAATACACACATCCTGTGGCAATATTTCATCTGCTGCAGCAATCTATGGAAAATAACTGCTGACTTGAATGCCCGGAGCTTTCGAAGCAGAATACTTCTCATGCCAATTAAGAGAAGAATAATCTTCACTCCATTTTCCATGTGGGAGATTTAAAAAAAGAATTTACCTTCCAAACAGGAAAACTGATAGGGAAAGACACAGTGTTGACACAAACACAATGTGTAAAATGTTTAAATGCTAGCAATCAAAGAGGGTAAAAGAAGTTCATTGTATTTCCAACACAGTATTGAGAATGTTTACGGTTAGGAAGTTTGTCAAGTTCAGGTCATTTGGTAAATATCTGGTCATGATATTAAAAGAATTATAAAATAATCTTTGGTTATTTTCACAAATGCAGGGCATCTAAAAATACTCTGTCAATATCTATTAATTAAAAAATGAATTAGGACAAACCAGAAACATACGATTTGTGTTCCTCCCTTTTGGTGGCTTAATTTTTACCCTTTGAATAAAAGAGTGTTCTTAAAAGCGCGCACTGGAATCCGGGCCAGCGAAACACAAGGTGAGACAAGTATTCAAAAGCAGCAGGTGTGGGGAGATACTCGACAGCTCAGCTCTGCCTAAGGCGGCCGTGCCGCAGTGTGGGCGGCTCGAGATCACTCACTCACCATATGCCTTTGGCAGGTCAGAGGAACAAGTTTGTGACAACGCTTATGGACCAGGAGTTTGCAGTTGATACACTTGTAGCCCTGCCTTCCGAGCCCCCATATCCTTTCACTGCAGTGGCCACAGTAAGCTTTCTGTGAGGCAGACGGAGAGAGGAGGGAGAGATGGGGTGGGGGGTAAAACAACACATTGCATTAGAATGAGCTCACAGGGCTTGGGTGGGGGGTGGAGATCATCTGTTCTCCACACAGAGCCTAACTGCATGCTCTCATTCACCAGATTCTCCCTTGCCCAGGCCAGACAGTAGGTTCCATTTCGAAATCAGAAAATATTCTGATGAAGCAATAGGCCTGGAAAGAAGAAATGTTATGTTTCAAGGGAAAACAAGATGCTGTATCTCGTGAAAGAATTCAAGGGCGATTTAGAGGCAACGCTCCACAGGACAGACAACATTAATTAACACTCGGCGAAAGCAAATACTTCTCAAGGCTGGTGTGTATCTAAGCATGTAAAAACAACTTGGTTAACATTGCAATAAGACATCTAAAATGGTGTGGCAGAATTTTTTAAACGTCATGCAATTTTGTTCATGCGTTTAGGTGAATGCCTCCTTAGTTAGCACCAATATAGGATGACAGTGTAGTGACACGAGCCTAATACATTTGCAATAAACATTAAAATTGAGATCGGCTTCTTATACAAGTGTGTAAAAAGATGAACCGTAGTGCACGAGTCCTGAATATTTAAGCAGATACTGCTGCCTCTGTAGGTGATTTTGGATTTCCAAGCAAGCCATTAGCTGTTGACTGCTATTCTTGCTTTTTAAATGACAGGAGGACGTGCATCTCATTTCTCCAGAGTGCTGGCCAGAGAAAAGGCCTTAAATAAATAAACAGCACTTAATGCTAACATGGCAGTATTAATACAGGAAAACTTCTGGCTCTGGGCTCACAGAGTGCAAAATAAATTAGTTTTATTGTATGTCTGTTGTAAGACATGTTCGTCTTCTGTAAATTTGCTAATTTACATTTGTAAATGTAAATTATGGTGAACCTGCATTTAGATGAACAATACATATTACGAAGAATGTGTGAGCGTTTATTAAAATACATTTTAATTAAATACACTAGAATTATAAAGAAGCATGTCCAAAAACTCTCCTGAGACCCCAGGTTTCCCCAAATGTTTACAGTTCCATATACCATATCTATGACAGTTTAACAGATTTGATGCATGCATCATTTTCTATTAACAGAACCAGGACTATTTTAGAACATTAACTCGCTCCTAAGTGATGAATAAATGAGATTTATAGCTGATGTAGAAAATTGTTCTTCCAGCCTCATAAAAGAGTACTTTGCATGTGATGAGACAGCTTTATCTGGATTATCAGCGTATACTGTACGAACAGCATACTTTACCACTGTGGATGGCTACATATAACAATGGCTCATTTTTCTTGTGTTTCAAGGGTGAATGGAGGTTTCTGATTCTGTGAAAGTGCCTTATGGGCAATTTCCGTGCACTCCTATGGGGGATGTTCAGTCTTTTGAGACCATAAAGCTGCAATAAATGTCTACAATAGGTGCTGAGAAGAAATGGGAGTATTTGTTCCTGTCAAAGCAAATCCTGACAACTAAGGTTTTCATTTACTAAACACTGTGTAAATCTGAACTCCAAAAACAATTCTCACAGCTGCTTAACCATGAATGGTGTGATTTTTAAATATGCTCACTGGCATTGACATTCACTCTTTTGTGTATTACAAGGACATATTTCTGTTATTGTTCTTGAGAAATTTTACAGCTGCAAACAACTTCCAAGTCAACATATAGCAATGTTTTAGCAATTAATTTTTTGGATTTTGTTTACGCAGAGACAATTTCATTTAATTTCACATTAAGTAAACGCAGGACACCACACTTAGAAACAGCAAAAGCAAATTTGGCACTAAAGATACACAGCTCCCTGGCACATGTTTTAAATAAAAATATGGTCATGCCTGGATGAAACCTTGGAGGATAGAAATGCTTATTATGTTGTGGGAGACCTCTTCAAGCACAGAAGTCACTGCAGAGACATTCTTTTGTTTAAAAGAACGAGTCCCTTATGAAAGAAATTACACTTTAATTGTAAAACAAGCAATTGTATAAACACACATCTAGTTTGGAAGGCTGGTGAACTAAAATACGTGGGATTTGGCATTTCCTAACACAAGTGATCAAATTGTGTTTGGGATATTCCATATGTAATCAATAAAACTGTCAATTCTTGACTTCACCTCCTTTGTTTTTTATAAAAAATGTACTCTTTCTCCCAACGGCAAAAGTAAGCAGTCTAAGTGTTAGTGTTATCCATTCATACATGATACAGCACATATATTTGTTTATAATGTTCTTAATACTGATGTAGAAAGGCAGTTTTAAAGCTTCTAAACAGCTTTTCATTCTATTACTGGATAAGTAAATATAAGAAGAATGTTTTAGATATACTGTCTTGTGTATACACTGTCATCTATATTTCCTACTGGGCCTTAAGTTTCGAATAGTTTCGATTACTAAGCTTCAGGCTTCTAAGTGAACCAGTGATACACCTCATGCAATTAAGCAAAAACATTTATTCAAAATGAAGTGTACTCTTCTGGTAATAAAAAATATAGGTCTGGTGGCTGATTTGTAATGAACTGTACATGATATGTGGGTGTAAATGTCATTTGTTTTTCAGTGCCGTGACCTATTGCTTTGCTGCTACAGCAAGGTGGTGCATCTGTGCAACATTAGGATTAATTCCTAATCAATTACCAAAGTTGGCTTATTAACATGTGACTGGCAGATGAACTCTGTGCTGAACTGTGACTTATATAAAGTACGAAACAAGACAGCCTAACTGAAACAAAACTGCCTGGGCCCTTGCAGGCCGGGGTCTGGGGTCCAGTGGTACCACGTCAGGCCTCAGCCCGACCTCAGGCCCAGCTCGAGAGCGGTCCGCAGGCCCATCCCTGAGGTCTCAGCGGTGGCGGAGACAGAGGCTGGGGAGGAAGCGGCGAGTGTTGTCAATGGGAATGTGGCAGAAGGGGCTGTGGAGCTGTCGCGCAAGCCGGAGACTTAACTCCACTCCTTCCTGGCCGTGCGCGCATTGGCGTCTTTCGCCTCCTTAAACGCCAACGGGCTGAGGGACGGAGCGAAGCTGGGGGCAGTGCTAGCTCTGCTGGGGCGGGCGGATGTGGTCTGCCTCCAGGAGACCTTCTGGGACGAGGAGTGTGTCCGGAAGGTGCGAGCACACCTAAGGCATGTCTTTAAATTTAATAGTGTTTAAGAAAAGCATTTATATATTATATTTATGAACATCAAATTATATTGCTTGGAGCTTACTATCTGAAGATAATTTACCTTCTTGTAAAAATGGCAAGCATGTCCACTGGTTGGCCTAGCCTTAAAGACATCAACGCCCACTGTGCCCCACCCACACAGCACTTTGGTGTGCACTGCACTGAAGATCACACAATAACCAAGAAACACATCAATGACCACCAAAAGCTGAACTTCGGGCATGACCAGGAAATTGTTACCATTCTGTAAATCTGCTAGTCTCTCCTGACAAAATCCAAACATCATCTTGAACAGAAATTGATCCCAAGGAGTTTAGTTCCAGAGGATCCAATTTTCTAAACACTGCCTTTCAGTTCCAGACAAACACGCTGAAAGCTAAAGTTTTTCAAGAAAAGGAATATAAGACTTTACAACTTAATAAGGTCTTGGAGGCAATATAGGAATCTCCTCTGAGAAGAGAAGCAGAGTATCACAGTGTATATACAGTACAGAATGTTGAAGAAGCAATGAACAGGGAAACTAAATAAGGTTTTTCCAACTACACAAGTGAAATCAATCAATTGGTAAGTACATGTATAGTATCTCCAGAAATAGTGGCCGAGCTATTACTTGCACTGAAAGGTTAGATAGATGGTCAAAAATGGGACTCATTTGATAACTGGTGTCACATGACCGGATTGTCACATGTGCCTAATACTGTAGTAACCATTTCTATCAAAGCAGGTCAAATCAGAGCAGGTCAGGATTTTGGGTGATTGTATTTTATAAGGAATGGCCCATCTAGGATTTCAGAATTAGTCTTCCTCACTTTTCGGGACTGCAGATGCTCTCTGTTAATAAATTCTCTGCTTTTCTTGTTCCTACAGTTTAATTATTTTTTTCAATGCCAAAGTGAAGCCCAATTATTAAAACTCTGGGATTCTCATTCACTGTGCTTTACCAGGCTAATCTGCACACCATCCTTCATGCAGGAGCATTGCAGGCAGCTTAATAAACTAATAAATACTGGACAGTTATGCTTCACTGCACATGCACAGAGCTTAGGAAACTATTTCACAGTCACAGCATTTAGATTCAAATTAACCCTTTCCCTGAAAGAAGCATCATGAATATGCTATTCAAAGAAACCAGCTTGTTTCAGTAAAATTCAGCATCACCCATGACTAAGAGTTGCATCCTCTTTTTCAGTTTCATTATTTTGTGTCATGTGACGCTGGCAAAATATCTCTTTCTGAGATACGCTTTCAAAAGATGCTCAAATATGTTGGTCTTGAGTACTGCAGGGAGATAGTGTTTCCCCTTAACATTGCTTTCATGCTTCAACAATCTCTGTGAAGATACCCACACACTCCCCTTTTTATATTAATTAATCATTTCCATTTGCCCCCCAGAGCATAAATGTCTTACAGAAGTAACATGGGAAATTCAGGCAAATGGTGAAAATACGCTAAGATGTAAGTACACAACTTTGAATTATTTTTGAATAGGACAGCAATAAGACCTTTACAGCTGGCAAGCTTATGACACCGCAGCTGAAGACAGCTTTCTCCTGCCAAGCTCCGTCCCCACAGCCCTTCAGCATACTTTGTTTAGAGGAGTGCGGTCTCAACAAAGGGCTCAGTGAAGGCCCAGTGTGCTGACATAAGCCTAATGAGCTGTAACTGCAAGCGCTCTGGCAGTCTAAAAGTCCGGCACCTCCGACAGGCTGAGCCTCGAAGCAATTCAATATTTACACCAACTCCCTCTTGACCTTGGAAAGCCCCCTCTTTTCAAGACCACCAGTACCTCAGCAAGAGAGTCAGAGC